ACCTCAGACAGTGGCCAGGTCTGTGTGCTCTCTCTGGATGCTGGACTCCCTGCTGCCACCCCCAGACCCAGCCTCCTGGGCAGGGCAGACACCCTCCTGGCTCCCTGCCGCACTCCATGTGTTCCCTGGGGTAGCTGGGGAAGCAGAATTCCTTTCATTTCAGCTGCTTTCAATCTATGGGGATTTTTGTTGACATTCTGAAAAAAATCCTGAGCTTTTTCCCCAAGATGCCATCTTTCCCTTGTTGACCAATTGGAAAGCCCAGGGACTTCACCTGCAAGGCTGGGTGTTAGGGGTGCTGACAGGCAGTGTGGTTTCGGCGCCCTCTCCTCCCAGGCTGAGTGCTCCCCCCAGCCAGCCCCTGGCACAGCCCACCTCAGCTCAGGCTGGCAGAGGCAGTCCCACGCTGGAACCTCCCTTCAGAGAACAGAATGACAATGGCAATCAGATGAGCCACATCCCTCAGCAACACTTTGGTTGGAAATGTTTCAGATTGAGCTGAGAGTGCTGGTTTTTCACCCCAAACCACCCAATTATTCCTGCAGAAACATCCTGTAGACTTCCCCTCTAATCCTTTCACTACAGTGCACTTTCTGAGAGAAGCCAAGGACCACTACCTAATCTACCTTACCCTCGTGAGCAGCACATTCCCTGTGTTTGAGGAATTACACTGCTGGCCTTTGTCATGTCTCCAAGTGGCACTTCTCATTCCACCCTGATGCTTTGCTGAGCAGCACACCAAGGGCAGGGGCTCACTTCTCTGCATTGCCCTCCAGGTAGAAGGATCCAAACCACTTAAGTAGACCGAAGGGTGCTATGGCTGGCTACACTCTGCCTGCACCAGAAGGCTTTGGTTTGGTGTTTAATGGCTAGTGGCTGCCTGCTTGCATTGAGGCAGGGTGCAGCAGAGCTGTGTTCCCCGGGGTGTGCACTCCTGCACAGTGAAACAGTCTCTAACAGATAAGAGTCTGTCATGCTTATCCGTAGGCTTTTTTGTGCTGAAGGCTGCCATGGTGATTGATATTTATGGTTACTGTTGGTGTGGCTTGTTATTTCTCCTCATTCATCATCCCAGCAAAAGGAAACTCAGTTTGCTGTCATCAGTGCAATGTCTTCTCTTGAATCACCCAGGCTGTTCA